TTACTGTGGCATTTAGAGCAAGGGGATCAGGACTGGAGTAAATGAAGGTTGTGTCGTCAGCAAATAGAATTGGTTTGAGGTGTTGGGAGGCATTTGGAAGGTCATTAATGTAGATGAGAAAGAGGAGAGGGCCAAGTATGCTGCCCTGGGGAACACCAATGTTGATGGGTAGGGTGGGTGAAGGTGAAGCATAAGTTAAACAAACAATTGTAAACCAGTAAAGTAAAAACATGCAGCAAGGGCGATGTAAAATGCAGGACATTTGCTGAGGAAACTAATCATAAATGCAGGGCCAGAAGAAACTTAAAGCAAGAGGCAAGGGCCCGATCCCGACAACTATCACATCCTAGCCGACTTTACATAATAACTTAAAGGCAAAGCAGAGGTTAAACAACGAATGTAAAACCAGCAAAGAAACTAGCAGCTTGACACTGCATAAAATTCATTAATAAATTAAGGAAAGTTATGGAAAAACAAGTCCATGAAACAAAGCTACGAGCCAGAGGCCTGAGACACTGCAGCTAGCCTAACCTAGCCGACTTTACCTAATAACTTATAGGCAAGCAAAGTTACACAAACCTAAGTAAAACCTGCAAAAGAAAACATGCAGCTTGACACTGCATTAAATTCAATAATAAATTAAGGAAACTTATGGAAAACACAAGTCCAAGAAAATTTAAAGCTAGAGGCCGGAGGCCTGTGACACAGCAGCTAGCATAACCTAGCTGACTTTACCTAATAACTTATAGGCAATGACCAAAAGTTAAAACAAACCTAAATGTAAAACCAGCTAAAGAAACACGCAGCTTGACACTGCATAAAATTCAATAATAAAATGAGGAAACTTATGGAAACAAATCCATGAAAACGAAGCTAGGGGCCAGAGGCCTGTGACACTGCAGCTAGCCTAACCTAGCTAACTTTACCTACTAACTTATAGGCAATGACCAGAAGTTAAAAGTTAAAACCGGGAGGAGGGTGGGCGTTATGTAAGAGCAGCTGCTGGCTTGGGGAAAGGGGCCCACGCCTTTTTTTTTTTTTTTATTAAGTTATGAGGTACATCTGCATTAGTGCAGCTACCCTAGACTATATGAAGTGGAGTACAGTGTGTCAAAAAAGCTAACTAGGTGATGCTATAAGATCCCCATCACACAGGATGGTTAGTCATACAGAGACATGTGATAAGCGGTCTGCACTGGCAGACTCCGGATGCATTTTGAGGATATCAACAACACAAGATTGAATAAGGTAGCAGTGGTAATACAAGTCCCCATCTCGCAGGATGGTTAGTCATACAGGGCCATGTGTTTAATAGCCTGCACTGGCAAATTTTGGGTATACTGTGAGGATATCTTCAAGAATACGAGAGTGAATAAAGTAATTGCAAAGCTCCAGGTACCTCATGCCAACTGGTCTGAAAGGTCTAATAACTGGGCATTCAGCCACGCCGTCTCCGTCCCGGTTTATATAACCTCGGGTCAATGCGCGCGCAGCTTGGGGCGGTTAAAGTCGGCTTCCAGACATACGCGTTTTCTTCCACTCAGAAAACCCACCGTTTTTGGGAAACAGTGTTCTTTATCCCAACTGGTAATGTTGTGATGATTTGGAGAGCTTGATACAAGGCATACAATTCCGCTGTGACCTCCCGTATCACATCATCGCCCCACACTTTTCACAACACTACTAATGGACCGCGGCCACAACCTCCTATAAGTCACCTCTGTGGGCCAGAAACAACAAGAATGGCAACTGACCACATCACTCGTATGATGATAATCCAGCAACGTTGGTAAACTTGTAGTTCTGCTGTCAATACATAGATGGCGTAAGGCCACATGGTAGTCTCCAATGGACTTTCCTAGTTGTGCTTGCGGGGGTTGAGCTTTGGCTCTTTGGTCCAGCTTCTCAACTGTTCCTGATTCCATTGGGTTCTATCTAGTTGCCCAAAACGTTTTGCGTCTTAGTGGCTTTGCAAGAATGTAAAAATATTACTAATGTAATCTCATCAACTTATTGTACCTTAATTCTATAAATAAAATATTATTATAGTATTATTATCATATCTATATTTGAAACTGTATGGAGTCTGCCTCCACCACGTTACTTCATAATGCATCTCATTTGTTAACTGCTCAGACACTGAAAAAAAATGTCTAATGACTCTGTATTTCATTTGGGTTCTTAGTTTCCACCTGTGATCTTTTGTGAGAGTTCTACCCGTGCTAAATACTCTACTCTATCGATTCCTCTGAGAATATTTTGTGGTAATCAGGTCTCTCTTAATTCTCTTAAAGGGTACCTAGTTCAAAGTCTCTTGTTACACTCCTGTACCTCTGAGACAATACAGATGACTTCCTGATGGATAAGTAACCTCTGATCCAACTAAGAAGGCAATCACCAATATTCATTCTCGCAAACTACCTCAAGATGACTTTGTGGGTTTGCAATATCAAAGGCAGACTTAAGATCTAGCAAGGTGGTATATGTCTTGTCAGTGTGCAGGGTAAGAAAGGTGGTGATGCAATGATGCTCACTCCTTCCATGCATGAATCTGGGGAGGAGAGCATGGTTCTTATTCTATGGAGGAGACGGTTTAGGGCCATTCACTCGAATGATTTGCAAAAGTAACTAATAATGGAAATTGGGCGAAAAGCATTGAGAACTAGAATTATACTGTTGGTCCAAGAGATAGGAAGTTCCCCAGGAATAAAACTCATATGGGACAGAAACCTGGAGAAAAATCATTTTCACCCATCAGGTTTAAACTCAGGGAACTACCTACCCGGCGAAGCCGTAAATCCAGCTGGATAAAATAATCAGGAATGTGAGGATGAGGGACCTTTGAAAAGCCACAGGATTCCTGTCCCCGTCGAGGTCACTAGAGAAATTGTGGGCCTCAGGTAAATTCAGGTAAAATATTCCCTGCCGGCATTATATATTCCCCTGCCCCCTTCCCCTTGTTGCATTCCCTCCCCTGCCCCTTGTTGCGTCCTTCTCCCTTTCCCCTTGTTGCGTCCCCCTCCCTTTCCCCTTGTTGCGGCTCCTTCCCTCTTTTCCCTTATTGCATCTCCCTGGTTCCCTGTACTGGAACTAGTGAAGTGTATGGGGAACTACCATTTCAGATTTGCCCTGATGAATCGAAGGCTGGGTATAGTGCCACACACATAATGCTGCTTGTGGCACTAAAGCAGACCCAAACTGGTCTGTGACGCTCCTCTACCCCACCTGCATCATGCAAGAGGCTAGCCCTTAACGTCTGGCCTTCAACCTTAAAAATTCGGTTAACTATATATTACCATTGGGATTAGTAGTTTTTAAGACATTGAAACTACAAATTCAAAACTAAATTTAAAAGTTTTAATAACATGACTACCTAAATTCAGCGGGCTAGAGATGTAATTCTAGTAATGGGAAACTAGTGACATTTTCTACAAAACAGGATATGTTAATTTTTAGGATGTGTATCCATGGTGTTAATCTATATCCTTTTTTTTACTATTAACACTAATTATATACTTCCTGTCGTATATAATAATTGGCAAACGCGCCTTGAGTAAAATTCTGATGCTAGTCTCCGGACACTTCTCCACAGTGGATTGCTCTAGCAGTTCAAAAAAGTTGTAGCTTGGTAATATACAGTATAGCCATGCCCGTTGACTATTTATTCCAGTTACTTAGGAGGACAATGTTAACACTTATTTTGTTAAATGCAGACAGTTGATAAGCTTTTACTCTAGTGTAAAAAGTAAGCTAAATGACTCTGCTCTTAGCAGTCATGCTGTTACTACAAAGGTGTAGCATTAATGCTTCTTGTATAGGTATTTTTGCTGGGCAAATGCCCCCCCCCCCCCCCCAAATAAAACAAAATAAAAATTATCTAGATTTAGCCTCTGATTTTGAAAGTCTTTTACAACCATGTAGGTTATCTACAACCCTAGCCTAGAGGCTTAACAAATGATTTTAGAGTATCTTAGATAATGGTAACTTAACAGTACTACTAATTTAACTTTTAAATGAATACTCTGCTTTACTTTTTTGTTTAATTATTACAAAGATGGTAAAATTCTTCAAAATAATTTTTTCCTTGGCTTGCCTTTATTAACCATATTCTTGCAGTAAAGTTAAGTCTAAATGTACTCTTTTACTCTTAAATTGGTATTACTTTTCAGGTTCTGAATGCTTCTGCTTAAAATAGTGGTGTGGATGTGTGGAGTCTCCGGAGACCACTACATAGCCCCAGACGGCTCCCTGGTGATGTTCTTCCCAACTCTTGAGCAAAACCAGTTGTCTGCGCCAGTTTTCGTCTCGCCTTTCCCATTGAAAAAGTCCTTCAGGGAAAGCGTCTCTATAATTCCCCCCAAAACGCCAACAGGCTTCAAACTAGTTTCTTTCCAGTTCCATATTATGTCCAACAGTTCACTCTTCAAGTGGCACCCTTGTCTTTCCAACCCCCTTCCTGCATTTAAGGTATCCCAGCTTCCATTCGCCCCTCAGCCACAGTTTAAATCTTTCAGCCTTCAAGGCTACAGCAAACTCGACACCATCCTGTGGAATACCTGGTAATGTAGTACGTAAAATGTTCTAGTTTGATTTGGTTAAACTCTAAATCCCATAGATCAAACTAATAATGTGCTTGGAGTACTAAAGTTGCACGTTAGATTCCTCAACATGGCTCTTATTTTGTCTCCTTTTAGTAAATTTAGATTAATTTAATTTTAAACTGTTTCAGACATGTGAAATAAGGGCTGGTAAGTAATTATGAAAGAAGGCACCAAGTAAGTAATTATCAAAAGAAGGCACCAAACCGGGAAGGCTATGTAGCACCAAATGTGTGGAATAATCAGAGGGTGCTAAATATCGAGGGCTGGTAAGAACTACTATTTCTCATGGTGCGTGAATAACATACCTACAGCTGGGATCAAGCCAACTCTTACTGCTAGTCTTGGCAGAGGCTTCCAGCTAGTTACTATTTAAGACAAGGATAAGGACGACTTCATAAAGAGCGTTATTGCCAGAAGCGAGTTTACTCGTTATTAGTGTTTAACATGGTTATAAACGATGGTAATACATGTGCATTAAACTTTAAATATGGTAATCCTGCTGGACTAAGATTTACAAAATGGCCAAGAATTTTTCTAAAACTACGTAATATTTGTTTTGTTAAGTGGGATCCAGTTCATGTGGACAAGCAGCAATGAGCGAGGCACGACGACCAGTGTACCGGATGATGACCTGGATGAGGTGGTTATCCGGTACACTGTCCTACACCAACTGTAGGACAGTTGACAAACACACAGTTGTGTGCTTGCAGTTGTCTTGCAAGCGAGACAACCGTATAGAAAAAGCAAGATGGTGAAAGGGAACAGGGCCCACAGAAGGAGCAATGGGTAAAGCACATCATCAGTGCGAGTGAGACTGTTGTAAGGACCACGCAAGGTAGCAAAGACAATAACGATCACGACAATCCTGTAGGGACAGGATGCCGATTTCAACACAGGCTCAGGGTAGGGGATGAACAAAAGGCACCAGAACCGAGGCGTAACCTAGTATGGTGCAGAGCATCAAGACGATGAAGAGTGGAAGGAGAGGCAAACAAGTAAGCGGGACAGCCATACTGTATTAGAGTTTAGACAGCACAAGAGGAATGTAAAGAGAAGCGTGAGAGAGTGCGTGTGTGTGTGACATGCAAGATCTTAAGACAAGATCTTGTGTTTGTGTATAGTGTTTAGTTTTGCCATAAATAGCTCCATGGGATGAACACAGTAAGGAAGGGGAAGAGAGGGAGGCCAAGTGCTTCAGAACATTTATCCATCACTGTGTGGGTAAAACATCTCTTTGTGGTGTATATTTGCCATCACTTTTTCAAACTAACCTTGATTCATTCCCCCTTCTCTCTGCGAACTTTCACAAACTTGCATGAAAATTTTCTTTCCAAGTGAAATCATAAGGTAATAAACAATTGTTATATATCACTGGACAATTGCTAGGGTTTACTCCAAGAGAAGGAGCAGCAATCCAGCAAGATGTGCTCTAAATATTTAGTATTTTTTATGAAAGCCTGTATTCTCAGAGTTTAAAGTTATATGCAGCAAAATGGCCTTAATTGCATTTCCAAATACAGTTACTAGCTGTAGATAATAGTTACATTTCAGAAACACTTGAGGGTAGTTGTTTATTTGTAGGTGTCTGTGTGTGTGTTGTAACAAGGGATGGAGGATCATCCAAGCTAGTTTGAGTCTGAGTGTGAGAGAAAGAAAGTTCAGGGAACAGTTCATTATGGCTATGATCTGGCGTCTGTGTATGAATCGTCGACCGCATAAACTGCTCTATATCCGAGAAATCTTCGTATGTCTGTGTTTCACTAGTGCACCATAAACTGTCACTCTCGTGTACCTCATATGATGCTTGACATGACCCGTGACTTTGATATACACTGTTCCCAGTCAAGATGAGAAGGCTGTTAGGATCAGTCTGTGTTTCTGTAGTAGTTAGAATAATCTCATCACTGTCATCAGGAGTATCAGCATTTTTGCTGAGGAGGACGTCATGATCTGTCTGGGTTTCAATGCTCGATGAGCGTATGTGGCCCAGAGAAGGTGGTCTTCTTCTTCCACCCACTGTTGTATTACTTACTACCTCCAGCAAATCATCATCATCATCAATAAACAACTGTGTAGATCCAAAGGGATCAAGATGCTCTGGTGTTTGTGTTGATGTAATAGACATTGATGGTGGAGCAATTCCTGGTTCATCATCACCACATGCACGGTCGAACAAAGATATAGCAAGATTATGGAGTTGTGGGTGTGAGAGGCCAGCTACACGGGGACTCGTCTGTGTGCCAGAAGTACTTTGCTGGGCAGTAATAAACTCTGGTAAATTGACTTGCAATGCTAGGCTTTCAAAAGATCCTTCATCATCATTACAATCTTCGGCACCAATATCAATAAATGTCGCTTCATTTTCACCATTAGTATTGTGTGTTCCAGTAGTAATGCCAGTTTCTGCTGGAGCTTCAGACAGATGGAGTAGTGTACCTCCCTGTAATCGTTTGCTATCTCTGTGACTGAGTCTTGTTTGTGTTTCTGCTGTACGTTTGCGCTTGCTAAGATTCCAAGGCAATGTACAGTTTCCAGCTGATGCCCAACACTTTCCTGGACTAGATTTTCTCCTTGAACGTCTCGGGACTTCTGTTTCTGTCTGGACACCAACATCCACACAAGGACTCCTAGGTGAAATGAGAAATTTAGATTTCATTTAAATAAGCAGGTTAAAGTTTATATAAAAGTAATTACTGGTAATTCAAAAAATAATAAAATTATAAAGCAGTATTCAATACTCTGTTATTTATAGATTTAATGATTTACCACTAGCCATGACCTGTCAGCCACCACTTGCACTCTACAGCCTCACCTTTTGGATCACAGTGTTACAACATTGTCATGCCATCCATTAACCACTAACCAAAATATCAAGTATTTAAACTCTTAACCTCATTTTATGTTTACAATCCTTCTATCAATGTACCTAAAAGACCTTAGACAACCTCAAATCATCTACAGTACACTGGTTTAAATCTTCACTTTCTTTGGAGCATAAAACTTAACAATGCAATTCAGCCAAAATTAATGCAGTTTTAGTATCACCTGATGCAGATAATAATTTGAATCCTAGGCTGTGCCTTTGAGTTGCTGAATGACATGTTGCAGCCTTTATTTATAACATGCATTACATTAAAAATAATGTATTATTAACATGAAATAAAAAAAATTATATAAAATATTATAGACTATTATTGATTGTTAGAACTGTATGTACAGACTGTATAGTGTATACTCTGTTAAAATAAAGCTTCATTTTTTCATTTGACAGCTTTAAATATCATGCCACCCACAATTCTTTCCCACCGATATATTTCTTCTCTCATGTGATGCAACCCGGAGGCGGGCACTGTCAATTGCCAGGCATCAAGGATGTTTTTTTGGCTCCCACAACAATACTGTGGAGGTGCTGCTGCCATTTAATGGTGGTCAGGATAGAGGCTGATTGACCATCCAGTAGTTAGCAAAGCAAAATTTTTTTATTCGATTTAATATTTTTCACTTGGAGGGGGAGGGGGGTTTGTGAAATCTTATATTCATTCATTTGCATACCATAATAGTGAGCAAGTCTCTTGGCTTTGGCTCAGGTTAAGAGTGGTGAGAGTTTTTCTTGCCCCTGTACATGAGCAGACTATTTGAGGGGGTTACTGGTGATGGTGGGTGATCATGTCGTTAGAGTCTGGTAGGAGGAATGTATGTACTCACCTAGCTGTGCTTGCAGGGGTTCAGCTTTCTTCACAACTATCAATCAACTAGTTTACAGATTCTTGAGCCTATTGGGCTCTATAAAATCTACATTTGAAACTGTGTATGGAGTGTGCCTATGTGTGTGTGTGTGTGTGTGTGTGTGTGTGTAATTACCTATGTGTATTTACCCCAGTGTAGTTACAGAGAGCTACGCTCGTGGTGTCCCGTCTTCCCAGCACTGTCATATAACGCTTGGAAACTACTGACGTTTTGGCCAGGCTGCTGGACATATGACAAACCACTATACCTTTTCATAGCTGTCGCAGCCAGTTCACTAAGGGCAATAGCCGCTAACAAATGAGTTGGTTGCTGGAGGTGCAGCGGTGTAACTTGACTGAATGTGGAAGAGGCTGAGCAGATGGTGGAAGGAGCTGCACATATAGTTGGCAGCACAGAACTAAACATGGATTGCACAGAGGAAGATGTGTTGATTATCCCAACTACACCACCTTCTTCTCTTCCTCTCTCATCAATAGTGTGATACCTACAAAAAAGTAATCCTTAATAATTACCCTTGCAATCTTAAAGTGTTCAGCATGGTCAGAATATTCAGCAACATATTCCGAGATGGAAAAAAAGATGGAGAAAATATTCAACCCATCACATCTCGAGTAAAATATTGTGACACTGTTGTTATAGAGTACCGAAATTCACGAAACACCACTTTCTGGCTGGTTATTCGATAGCTTTCCTGAGCTAATAGCAATGTGCAGAAGGGTCATTACTGCTACGCCACACTCCTGTGACAAGTCTCTGCCCACCACAAGCAAGTACCATTCTAAACAATGTCTTGTCCCCTCTAGGGGGCAGGAAGCATGAAAAGCTTGAAAAAGCATGAATAAAACTCACAGCAACTTAACTGAACAGTTAGGTTGATGTGACAGCTTAGCTGGTATGTTGTTTTGTTGTTTTAGATTCACCTTCTCGGAACAAAAAGTTCCAAGCAGCAAGGGCAATGGTGAGCCCGTCGAACTCATCTGGCATAGTTGTGCTACAAAAGCAGCAGCCATGTAAGCACAATGGATACCTGCAAGGCAGAGGCCATTCAGGACAGAGGACATACTGTCCTGAATGGCCTCTTGATTCCCCTGCTACCATCAAATGGTAGGATTTTTTTCCATGGGTCAAGGTAAACTCCATTACATCCACATAAACCTATTACTGTATATCCTTTCTTTTCACACGTGTAAAACCCAGACAATAATTGTTTAAATCGTCAATTGATGACAACAGCATTTCTGTACCTCTGGACTTGACACAAATTGCGATGCCCAATGGTTAAACTTCTAGTTGGTCAGTAACAATCACTGCAGCAATTTCCAGTAGTCATAACTGATCTGGTCATGCTGCTTTTATCATATCTGATTCCTCCAGTTGTCTCTTCATCTCTTATAAGGTGATGTGTATTCTGTTGCTACTGCCTACTTGCTGTCCATTCTCCTTAAATTTCAATCTTCTTCATGTCTGTAAACCTCCTGGACCAAATGTCTTGTTGAAATTCCTCACACACTTCTTGTCATTTTGTTTCTTCCTGTCCCAGCAGAATGAACATATGATCAAATGGTTATAGAACAGCTTTGGCTTGTCCTTTGCCTTTGTGATAAAGTAATTTTCAAACTGCTGCTCTGCTGCCTTCAGGAATCTGATGTACTCATTCCTGGCTCTCTCTGGTATCTCCCTATTTGTGTATGCACTCAGTTCCCTATACTTTTTCAAGTTTTTTTTTATTTATTTTTTTTGTTTACTTTTATTTTTCTATTGTCTATAAAACCAGGGCTTGTTTTTTTTCTTCTCATCCATTTAACCTCCTGTGAGGGATGAACTTTTTGTTACTGTATATTTTTATTTCATTTATATATACAAGTTTTCTTACATCTTTGTAAAGATGCGAGCATGCATAGCATTTCGGACTGATCCTTAATCTTAATTTTCCCTGGAATATGATCCACCAAATCGTTTAACAACCAGGTACCCATTCACTGCCAAGTGAACAGAGACGTGCAGTTAAGGATTGGCACCTAGTCAATCCTCACCTGCCAGGATATGAACCCAGGCCAAATTGCTCATGAAGCACTTGTTGAGTGTGTTACCACTGCACCATGGTGACCCCAATCTGCTGGTCTGTTGCTTCTGAAGATTTATGCATTACAAATTACAATAACTGACTTCTCTTTAATTTAATTTTGCTGTTGATCATCCTGAAAGTATGTCCTAACACTCCTATAGTCCCATTATCTGTATTCTCTCACTCTATTCATCCTATTTTTAAAAATATGCTAAAAGTCAGCAAAGTATTAAGAGGAATTTATATTAATTTACACAATGAAAGTGATAGATAAACTTAGATAAACACTAATTCACACTATTGCAATTCTTTCCTTACAGGACCACTGGGAGGGGCCTTAAAGCAAAGAAAAAATACATGCAAAGACTTAAGACAAAATCTTCAAAACCTGTTCAGCATCTTGCATAAAACTAATGTATTTACTAGGATGCATGAGAATAAGAAATGCAAAATTAACATTTTTAACAGTTTTTACAGCAAGACATTACTTGAGTGGGATGTGGTGAGTCCAGACTTCTTGAGAAGAACCACCCTGTAAAGGTGACTGTATTGTTAAAGCTGGCTCCGTTTGTAAGGTTTTTCTTGCTCTGAAGTTGGAGAGAGAGAAAATGCGGTGAATTTATACACAGGGATTTCAAAATATTTTAAGGCTGTCACTGAATCTGTTTAAAACTTACTGAGTCATATACACTCTATGGAAGTCAAATGATATAAAAATTTAAAATTGCTAAATTTTTTGTGCAAAACTTAAATTGACTTCTCACCAAATTCAAATATTGATTCTCTTTATGAACTTTTTTTTTTTAATTACACATCAATTTTATTCAATTACCAAAGACATTATTTAGAATGTAATACAAAGCTCACTATAAAACTAGAAATAATTTGTTACAAAGTAGGGCATTAAGTGAAATGAAACACTCCTTTTTGACTCGCCAAGTAAAATAACTACATATGGTCAAGGCATGTAGTTAGGGAAAGAGTGGATTGTCTATCACCTTAATCAACCACCAAGCAACATGCTTGCTCTAAGACAAAATAAGAACAAACCACTATATCCCCTGCAAGCAATCATTGGGACTCATAAGGACAGCAATTATCACCCTGTTACAATAACTACTAATTCAACTACCAGCTACAACCACCATCACAGGGTTTCAGCACTACCTACCACAACAGGATCGGGGAGGCCACCAACCCCCATTTAAAGCCCAGCCCATCCAAGCACATTGAGGAAGTCAAGACCACAAGGGTGGAAACAACAGCAATCAAGGAATCACTGAGAGAAGCATCTGGTTCCACACAATGCTCTATGTCTGAGGTTGATCTCCGAAGCAACTCTCCACAGTGTAAACCATTAAGACACTACAAAGCAGGAGCATGTAATGGAGATATTGCATAACTCATTCTTTTTCCTGCTTCAAACTGTTTGGGTGTTGGCATAATGTCTAATCATCACAGTGTAATCACTGCAGTAAAGTATTCATTCAAACTGTCAGCTGCCTTTTGTATCATCAGTTAAAATTTGGTTGTTTTCGTCTATCAAGGGTCCTACTGAGTCTCTGTCCTGGTTTTACTTCTTATATAAGCATTAAGGGATTTGGAATTTTTTCAGTGTTTTGAAATAGTTTCTTTTGGTTGATCTGCTGCACTTAATGCTCTTATTACTGCCGTTGTCATCTATTTGTTTATTTTACCAAAGCAAGTTTTTCTCCCAAGTACTGTTGAAAATATGTACCAGAGGCCTACAAAACAAAAAACTACTGGAGGCTAGCCAAGAATTCAAGTTCTAAATGTAATGAAATGCCTTTTTCTCGAAAGCCTCGGTAGCTTTCATACCTGGCCCTTTTAACATGTTTCCCTTGGAGTTTGGGACCATTATGAGTGACATGCAAGTGATAGGGAACGCCTGTGTAGCCCTTGGATGACTTAAGCTGTTATCTGGTGGCTCACTGGGATACTGAAGCTTGATTGTTGACATTGGGAAAACTTCTACTTCCCTTCTTTCCATTTTTCTTTTATTAAGATACACAGTTTTGCTTCACTAACTTCCTGGGCAGTTTTATTTGGTTATAAAGTTGTTATTAGATACTCGTGTTGCTCTCTATAAGCATGACTGATTAGTCCTGGTGTTTGGTAGGTTTATGCAGGTCCAGGCTTGGTATGCAAGTCCAGAAGCTTGGACCTGGAATATTCAAACTGCATCATTTATTAATTCAAACTTGAGAAGATAAATGTTAAACCATTAAAACTTGATACTATATACCTTAATGCTTGAACAGTGGAGTGGTGAAAAGTATGGCCAGAGCGGCGAACATGAGTCTGCAGTGTCTCGACAGATGAAAAGCTGTTACCACAGCTACACAAGAGCTTGACTCCACAAGCACGTTGATGGCGGGCAAGTAGTGCTACGGTACTGAATGCTTGCCCACAGTCACATGTATGTAAGCGAGCTGCATGGACTTTGAGGAAGTGCTGTGGAAAAATAATGTATAAGAAGTAAAACTTTATGATAATTTGGATGCATGCATATATAACATTATGATGTTGCAGTATTAATTCATTGTGTCAGGACAGGAAGCCAGAGTGTATTCATACACGTTTTGGCTTTTATCGAGGTCCTTCCCCCCACTGCCGTGTTTCTGACCCCGCCCAGGATGCAACCCCACAACAAGCTGACCAACTCCTGAGTACCTACTCACTGCTTGGTGAACAGAGGTATTAGTTGAAAGGAAATGTGCCCAACCATTTCTGTCCTGCCTGGGACTCGAACCCGGAATTCTCGATTCAGTGTTGAGAATGAACCCGACAGTACTACTGGGACCCTTAAATACGGTATACTGAGCATTAATTGTAATGAGAGGGCTCTTCCTTCCTTCCCTCCCTCCACTGAATGGACCAGATTCTGGCAATGGTCTCCGGTAGGTTTTAATAAATCGATAAAGCCTGGTGCGGTATTAAGGGTTTGACAAGTATACCAGTCGGTAGCTCAGGGGGTTTACAAGAGGCCCCTTCCAGAAGATGGAAAAGAACCTCAATTTAACAGAAACTATTCTTTAACAGAACACATATAGTTCATAAAATTGAGGTTCCACTGTACTGTACAGACAATTAGAATACTTCCTTATTAGTTTTACATGTTACAGCAACTATAAAGATTTTAATACATGATATAAATTACCTGTTTAAGGTACTTCAAATTTGGAAAATGTCTTCCCTTGGCACCAAAGTTGTTGTGATAAATGCAGGACTCTACAGGACAGTGATACCACACTGACACTCCTGGTTTTGATGCAACACTGCTTACACTTTCTTGACGGTGGACCTACAAATACAAAACATATAAAAATTGCCTAGAAATGTTTTAAGAACATGAGCACACACCTGAGAAAAGTATCCAGAGGCTGGTATACTAAGGAACATAAATAGTGAGGTAATGAAAACAGAGTGGGCAATGTTAACAGTTCTATAGCAAGCACAAGTGCTATCATAACACACTTTGTGCATTATTTTTCTCATTGCTATAATAAGTTCAGGAATCATATGGAACACTGTCCAGGGTAAGTTATGTGGGCTGGGGCACTGAGCTCAGACTGATGCATTGAGCTCAGGCTGGGGTATTGAGCATAGGCAGAGGGGCAATGAGCACAATGTTTAATGTTCAAAAGAAAAATGAAAAATTGCTTTGTATATATAACAACAAAAATAGAGGGCATGAATGAATTAATTTATGAATGTGTTGGAGTGTAGGAGAGATATAAAGAGTGAGATACGCATTTAAAGGTGATTATTTTCCAGTGTGCTGCGAGAACTTTTTAGGAAAGAACGAGACGAAGGTGTTCTGGAATCAATTCAATTATTGTGAAAAGAAGCCACAAGATGTTAATAAAGTTCTTGTCTTGGGAGATATGACTGCTAGGACAGGGAATAAATTTTCCTGGCCTGAGGTCAGGCTCGATTAGCGTTGTTCAGAAGGAAATGAGATGTAAATTTTGCAGATCCTCATAGTGGTAAGAGTGACCCAGACCAAATCGCTAGCGAAATGTGGGGCGAGTGTTTTACCACTGCTCCGCGGGGACATTCCTAGTTCAACTTTTAAACAGTGATACCAGTTAGACAGAGCAAGTCAACTTTACCTGATTCAAGTGTAACCTAAGGGCAGAAGAGTTGGCAAATGTGCGAGGGCATCCTTGTGGACAACGAATGTTAACAGAGATGGATGATAAGCTCTCTTCGTCTGGGGTCACATGTTGTACTACTTCACTGGCTGCCATTACTTTGGTCAGGGATTCACATCTGGAAATAGACATGTTTACTACCAAAGACAAAATATGAAGAAGGTGGAGGGAGTATTGTATTTTAAAAGATAGATGGGCAAAGCTAATGTAAAATTAGAAAAAATAAGGATGATATTCCCAGTGTCAGAGAGACAAAGCCAGTATCATACTTAGGCTCATCGAAATCATGATTACCTAATTACCTCATTAAATTCCTGAAATTATCCATATACACACTATACAATATGAATCTACGTAATCGTTGCAATAATAATGATAGCAATCACCATATGAACCGCATAATAATTGAGAAACTTTAGCACCTCTGGTGGTCAGAAGCTTAACTGGAGTGTATTCTATGTATTAAAATATAATAATAATAATAATCATAATAATAATATTAATATTAATAATGTTTAATCAGGTAAAAGTACATACAGTACTGTACATACAAAATGATTTACTAACAGAATGTTAGATTTCTTGATAGAGCTGGTTTATACTATGCCTAAAGCTAATAGTATGCAGAGCATTTCAGGCAAAATAGTTTTCAAAACTATCATAGGATATATCATTGGATAGCAAAACTCGTTATTCATTGGTATGGTAAGTGAAAAGGGCGATGAGTGAGATTTTGCCCACATTAACCTACAATTTTCAGAATATCGGAAATATATAAAATATGACTCCTGGACATTATTTAGGAGCAGAATTCACGGTGATTACACATATTTGGAGTTTTAAATTACGACTTTTTATACCAAAAATATGCAAATTAGTGAAAAGGACGATGGGTTAGATTTTGTCTAAATTGACTTACAGTTTTCACAATATCGGAAATATGACTCCTGGACATTATTTTGGAGCAGAATTCATGGTGATTGGACATATATGTTGTTCTAATAATGTCCGCTCTGAGGACATGATCATGTGGGGAGTTTGACTGGGGTGGTACATCTTTCAAATGATAATGCAGGTGTCCTAAGGCTAGCTCAGCATGGATAGAAACCTCGTATACAGCAAAAGGGCAAATGCTGGCGTGATCCTTATTTCAGTACGAATATGGACTTCGAAAGCAAGGCCTATTGATCATTTTTACTTTAGGAATTTTAAACAAGAAGTGTCAGAAAATTTACCCCAGTGATAACTGGCTTCTGGAGGCCAAGTGTTCATAGCGATGTCGCTTTTTGATCCTTTGATGTCGGCTCTTCCTATCATTGTGAAGCATAATTCACTAAGCATTGGATTGTTCACCCCTCCATGCAAATAAAAGGGCCCAGTCTATGGAACTCACTCCCTGATGAATTAAAAAATTGTCCAACCCATGCCCTGTTCAAAAGTAAAACCAAAAAGTACCTGATTTCATCCTCATAGTTTCCTTTGTGCTTCAAACTCACACTATCTTGAACTACCCACTTCCCCAATATAAGTACTGAAGACTAATTAAGTACTTAATCTTTAGCAGTGTAATCACCTCTGTCAATTTATATTGTTGATATAAAACCTTGCTACGATGTACTACTTCATCTTGCTCGATATGTTAGATTAAGAACCTGCCGCTTTGCATGTTAGTGGCTTTGCATGTAAAAATATCACTAATGTAATCTCACCTTCCCATTGTACCTGCTAGTAAATAAAATATATTATTATTATTATTATTATTATTATTATTATTATTATTATTATAAGCGAAGACATGGGTAGTTTAAGTAGCGAAAGCATACCAACGAATAAGATGGTATTTATACTGTATCATAAAACTCTTGTCCTATGGAGTTGATTTAACTTCCACACATTTTTAAATAAATATTAAATCTTTTGTGGCTATTTATGCTAGATATTATAAATGTGGATTCTACCTGTTAATATCACCAATTAAATTTTGTGACAATTTGAGCAGAGAAGTGACGACTGGATCACTGTGTACAGGAGGCTGACAATTTATTTTTTTTTTTTTTTTTTTTTTTTTTAAGATATATACAAGAGTTGTTACATTCTTGTACAGCCACTAGTACGCGTAGTGTTTTGGGCAGGTCCCCGGAATACGACCCCCGCCGCGAAGAATTGTTGTTACAACCAAGTACACATTTTACTGTTGCGTTAAACAGAGGCTACAGTTAAGGATTTGCGCCCAGTAAATCCTCCCCGGCCAGGATACGAACCCATGACATAGCGCTCGCGGAACGCCAGGCGAGTGTCTTACCACTACACCATTGAGACTGTGTCTGAAACACTCTGCATATAGGCTTTAGGTATTTGTATGTACTAGTTCTGCCTATAAATAATCAGAAAGTTTGTAACTCTGCATCTATGTATGTACTTTTCGTAAATAAAATATTATTATTAATATATCTTGGTCAAGTCGCTCCACAACATTGTCACTTGCACCCTATACTTCCTATGGCGGCACCTGCTACACATTTACTTCTAATTTTGTTATGAAATAAGATTATTTCTGAGTAAAAATAACTTTTAGTCATGTTCTGCATTCAGCACCAACATTATAGCGAGTAAATACACCATATATATCTTCATTACTTACGTAATGCTGGTAGCCTTTGGGTAATTCTACGGACCGCAAAAAACTGTTGTTCTTACATTTAATGTTAATATTATACCCGTAAGGCTGTCAACCATGCTTTAATGACCAACTCACAGCAAGAGTGAGACGCAGTAAAGGAGCCAAATTGAAATTGAAATAAGTTTAATGAGGTAAAATACACACAAAGGGATGAGGTAACTCAAGCCATGCTCACCCCGTTCAGTACATCGTGTTAATACATACATATAAACACATCACAAACAATAAACATATTACCAAACATTCTGAGAGATAAACATCTACATTTCCTAAGGAGCCAAGGTTCATCCTCCAGTGAACAGGTGCTGCTCCCGGTGGCGGCAGAGAGCGTCCGTCCCCTTCGCCGTCAACGACAAGACTGAGACACACAGGGTTGCTAGCTCCAAATTGCTGGAAGTAGCGAGCTGACGGTCTAAAAGTAGCGAATTTGTAATAAGAGTAGCCCAATTTTTTGTTTAGTTACCACCTCTGGTGCAAGTGTAGGGACCCATAGCCTCGGAGAAGAAAATATCCATATCTCAACTATGGTATTTGTGCTTGGGGTTCTACAATACAATACAATACAATTTTATTTAGGTAAGGTACATACATACAATAAATATTTACAAGGATTGTTTAACTTATAGGTATAGCTAGTACATACAATGCCTAAAGCCACTATTACGCAAAGCGTTTCGGGCATGATAAACTTCAATGACAAGCTTAATACTAATTGAGCATAATGAGTAGAATGAAAACAAGAAATGAAAACATAGATGAAAAAGCAGCACAAATACAATTATGTCGACAAACAGCGCTCTTTAAAAAAAAAAACAGACATTGGTTGACAATAGAAGGGTAAGGTAGGTTACAGGGAATTTATTAGGTATAGCTTCGCTTTTAACTTAAACTGGTTGAGAGAGGTACAGTCTTTAACATGGTTGGGAAGGTCATTCCACATTCTGGGCCCCTTGATTTGTAGAGCATTTCTAGTTTGATTAAGTCGTACTCTAGGAATATCAAAACTGTATTTATTTCTGGTGTGATGCTCATGGGTTCTGATACAACCTTCTATGAAGCTTTTGAGATCAGGATTGGCATTATAGTTTAACGTTTTATATATGTATAATACACATGAGAGAATGTGCAGTGACTTAATGTCTAACATATTCAGAGATTTAAGTAGGGGTACCGAGTGATGTCTGGGGCCAGAATTGGATATTGTCCTAATAGCAGCTTTGTGTTGAGTAATTAGAGGACGTAAGTGATTTTGGGTAGTAGAGCCCCAAGCACAAATACCATAGTTGAGATATGGATAGATAAGGGAGTAATAGAGAGTCACCAGGGCAGAGCGTGGTACATAATATCTGATCTTAGAAAGAATGCCCACAGTTTTTGAAACTTTTTTTGATATGTTTAGAATGTGTCCCTGGACATTAAGCTTGTGGTCAATGAGAATGCCAAGGAATTTGCCATCTAATTTGTTACAAATTTGGGTATTGTTTATTTTGAGATTTATTTGATTAGAGGATTTATTGCCAAACAGAATATAAAAGGTTTTGTCAATGTTAAGGGTGAGTTTGTTGGCAGTTAGCCACAGATGGACTTTATTTAGCTCAGTATTTACTGTGGCATTTAGAGCAAGGGGATCAGGACTGGAGTAAATGAAGGTTGTGTCGTCAGCAAATAGAATTGGTTTGAGGTGTTGGGAGGCATTTGGAAGGTCATTAATGTAGATGAGAAAGAGGAGAGGGCCAAGTATGCTGCCCTGGGGAACACCAATGTTGATGGGTAGGGTGGGAGAAATTGTATTATTCACAGAAACATATTGGAGCCTGTCAGTAAGGTAGGATTTGAGGTATTGTAGGGAGTGTCCTCTGACTCCATAATGATGTAATTTAAGAAGAAGGTTTTGGTGGTTGACAGTGTCAAAAGCTTTACGCAGGTCCACAAACAACCCAACAGAGAACTCATTTTTATCAAGAGCTGTATGAATCGAGTTAAGCATACTAATAAGTGCATCGTTAGTGCTTTTTTTGGGTCTGAAGCCATATTGGCAAGGGCTAAGTATATTGAGTTTGGCTAGATATGAGTAAAGCTGCTTATAGATTAGTTTTTCAAAAATTTTTGACAAGTTTGGCAGGATAGATATAGGTCTGTAGTTGTTAACATCTGTGAGATTACCACATTTGTGGACAGGCGTCACTCTCGCTTTTTTTAGAATATCTGGGAAGGTTTGGAGTTCAAGTGACTTGTTGAAGAGCAAAGCAATAGCAGGGGCTAAAGATCTGGAGGCTTTTTTGTAAATTAAAGTTGGTATCTCCTCAAGGGCACCAGACTTGGTTTTAAGGGAAAGGATTATCTCATTGACGTCAGTGGAATTAATAGGCTTTAGGTACAGAGACTGTGGATAGTTGCCTGAGAGATAGTCATTAATGTCTGTACTGGAAGATGGAATATCATTTGCAAGGGATGAACCAATGGAAGAGAAGAACCTATTGAACTCAGTAGCAGAATCAGAGGCTGAAAGCTGACCATCGTTATTAGACAGGAGAGTCGGTTTGTTATTTAAAGACTTCTTTGATCCCAATATTTGAGAAATTGTTCTCCAAGTTTGTTTAATGTTGCTCTTTATTTGGGTAAATTTATCTTCGTAGTATTTAGTTTTGGCTCGTCTAATTATCTTAGACAGCAATAATGAGTAATTCTTTGAGAATTCTTTGGAGACAATTCCTAACCTATACTTCTTCTCAAGGTCATGTTTTTTATTAATAGATTTAAGTATTCCCTTTGTAAGCCAGGGATTGTTAAGCCTTTTGGTTGTGACTTGTTTTGTAAGCATTTCTACTACCCAAAATCATTTATGTCCTCTAATTACTCAACACAAAGCTGCTATTAGGACAATATCCAACTCTGGCCCCAGACATCACTCGGTACCCCTACTCAAATCTCTTAATATGTTAGATATTAAGTCACTGCACATTCTCGCATGTGTATTATACATATATAAAACGCTGAACTTTAATGCCAATCCTGACCTCAAAAGATTCATTGAAGGTTGTAACAGAACCTATGAGCACCACACCAGAAATAAATAATCACTGATTTTCTCAGAAAAGCGGTGAAATTCTGCGAAGAAAAAAATGCATTACCATGAGTTGGAGACTAACCGACTATATAGCGCGCACCGAGTGGGGTACTTAAATGCAAGCCGCGGACACAGCACCCTCCATATATCATCAGTACTTTGCTTTAAGAGGTCAGACCCCACCCTGATCCGGTGCATTAAACCGGTAAGAGACGGGAGACCTCTTAAGGAAAGTGCAACCCTCTAGATCAGGCTCTCCTGCACCCAGCACTGCCGGGTGGGTAAACATTAGGCAGCAACGATTAGAGCCATGATCTACTCGCCTCTGCCTCACCAGTTACACTACAAAACGCTGGTGTTGTGTTTTCCACACATCAGCATTAAGGTATAACCTTCACACACACTGCGCCTATCTTAATGGAGCATCACCATCACGAAATTCTTCACATATTCTGCACTTGTCGCGATGAAGGTGAAAGCTCATAAGTCTCCAGAGTGTGGGAAGAGCTTCAGTCAGCTTGGAGGTATGAAGACTCACATGGTGCATTCGGGTGACAAACCTCACGAGTGTCCTGAGTGTGGGAGGAGATTCAGTCAGCGTGAAAATAATAATAATAATAATAATTTTTATTTAGGCAAAGGTACATACATAAAGAGATTTTACAAAGTTTGTTGGCTTTATAGATAGGAGCTAGTACATACAATGCCTAAAGCCACTATTACGCAAAGCGTTTCGGGCAGAAAATAGAAAAAGACAGACAGACAGATAGAAAAGACAGCGGAAAATATAAAGACTCACATGTTAGTGCATTCGGGGAAGAATCCTTATAAGTGCCTAGAGTGTGGGAAGAGGTTCAGGCATTTTCGAAGTATGACCACTCATGTTTTATTACATTCGGCTGACAAACCCCACAAGTGTAGATGTCAAACCTCACGAGTGTCCCACAGTGTGGGAAGAGGTTCAGTCTGCTTCGTCATATGAAGACACATTTTCTGACCAGGGGGAGAAAGATACTGGCAGTATGGGGCGTTAAAGTTTATTGAGGATTAAATTCTGCAGAACATGTAAATATATAAAGTTCAAATATAAAGTAAGTAATTATATAAAGTCTATATTAAACACGGTTTATATTATAGACTTATAACAAAGTTGATATTATATTAAACTTAATATTGAACATGTAAATATATAAAGTAAATATATAACGTTTATATCAAAATATATAAAGTAAATATATAAAGTAAGAATTAACAGTAACAATTCCAAGTCCGAGGACTAGATTTAACTTAAGGTACACCCGTAGTAAGTATGAGACCTTAGCCTATAGTGACATGGAAACTAATTCTGCAGAAACCTAAAGGTTAACTGGTACTAGAATTAAGGCCGAGTGCAAATGTGTAGTAATTATATAACACTAGGATATAACAGGCAGGACACAAAGAATAACTAATAAGTGAGAGACCACATAACACGTAATGTACCCGGCCAAGAGGCCGTAAAAGACCTAATGGATAAGGAGAAGGGGGTGTGACTACAAGTAGGGCTTACTAGCACCTAGACTGGGCAAAGTATTAGCTGCGGACAGCGGGACACTTGGGGACCGGCGCTGCACCCCCACCGCAGGCCAGCGGCCGGACCCCCCCCCCCACCCCCCCCCCCGAAGGGCGAGTGCCAGCTGGCCGCGTGAGGCACTCAAAGTAGCAGAGCAACAAACGTCCCGTCTGACGTAGGATGTGAGCACTACTCTTCCGCCTGCCGTCTGCCATTATTTCTGATGTGGCGAGCCCGTCCCGAGACAGCTGGGTGCGGGGCGTAGTCATCTGAAGTTAAGCCTAGCGCCGAGAGGGCAGCGCATAGGATCCTGGAGAAATCCCGCCTGGTGACAGGAGCGCTTGTAGGATCTGTGCTTGTAGGATCCGAAGAGTGTTGATTCCTGACCATGTAGCAATACCTGGTCCAGTCGGAGCGTGCGACGATTTTCTGACCAGGGGGAGAAAGATACTGGCAGTATGGGGCGTTAAAGTTTATTGAAGATTAAATTCTGCAGAACATGTAAATATATAAAGTTCACATAAAGTAAGTAATTATATAAAGTTTATATTAAACACGGTTTATATTATAGACTTAACAAAGTTGATATTATATAAAACTTAATATTGAACATGTAAATATACAAAGTTTCAAATATAATTTAAGGAATATATAACGTTTATATTAAAATATATAAAGTAAATATATAAAGTAAATATATAAAGTAAGAATTAACAGTAACAATTCCAAGGACTAGATTTAACTTAAAAGGTACACCCGTAGTAAGTATGAGACCTTAGCCTATAGTGACATG